GGAACATTAAACCAATACAAACCCCTTGTGCTTCATCAGCAATGTCTTAAATGCTTTTAGAAGGTAATAGTGATGAAAATAATAGCCACAGCTAACACTAGGCACAAACTGTGTGCCATGAATTAATTTACATAAGACTTACTCTTTAAGGTAAGTATTCTCATTGTCCATAATTTTTTTGTTGAAGAAATTTAGGCTTAAGAATTCACAGCCAGTAAGAGGGAGAGCCAGGTATGGAACTCAAGTATATTTGGATCTAAAGCCTGAGCTAAAACCTAGCTACTTGTTTAGCTAAAATAAACTGATTATTTCTTAACAAGCATTCTCTACTCTTGTCAAGCACATTGTCTCTTTCTCTCTGGCACATACTTACTCTCAACCTCCATACCATTGGTCATATTGAACTTTCTGTTTCTCTACCCACCACCCCCACCCACACACACATACACACATAAAATATTGTATTTTCACAAATGTTACCCTTTCAATTCTCAGTCCAATCTCACTTCCTTTTCAACAATGCTTACCTTTCTTTTTCTGAACTTCTAAAGCATCTATAGCCTATGACAGTCTCTTCAAACTGGGGTACATATAGTCCTAAGGCTACAAGAAGACTTCCCAGAGTACATAGGGATAGGTAATTTTAAAGAATTGATATACAGATTCTCAATTTCCATGAGTATTCTTTTCTAAAACTTCCTTGACTAATTATGCCTATGATGAGGTCATCAGGCTGCTTCTCCATTCCCACTAACCCTCTCACAATTACCCCCTTTCACTTCACAAAGAAAATCCAAAGTAAAAAAAAAGAAGAGAGCTACATATTTTCACCCATTATGATTCTTACTGTGATGAATTGCCATGTAGTTTTAAAACATTCAAGGGCATTAAACAAAGAAATAATTCAAAATGTTGGTATCAGTGTAATAAAGTAAATGACTTACAAATGGTTTTAGTCTTTTCATGCATGTGGTTCCCAATTTTAATAAACTTGAAGAAAAAACAAATTGAATAGCAACTGATAGATCATTAAAATAATTTTTTTACGGGTAGATCGCTATACCTTTTGGCATACAACTCAAGAGGGATTTGACAATTTGATTGACATATTTATGAGGACAACATTTTCAGAATTATAACAATAAGGAATAGGAATAGAATTCATATTAAATGTTGCATGATTTGAGCAGCAAGTAATTTATTTATTCACACATACCAAAACTAATTGAAGAAAGAACCCAGAATGTTCATGCCATTAAGAGATTCATTTTAAATTCAAGTTCATGCTTAATGCCAATTATTATATATCAGAATCGAGTAATATGTGTCCTAATTGGTTTATATATGAACAATAATTCTAAATATAACTCAGTCTAGATCACCCCTTAGAGCCTATGGTCATAAGAAATTTTAAAATCTTATAATATTTAGTTCTGATGTAGAGAAGTATGATAAGATGAAAAATAAAAGATTCATGGCCAAGATGAGGCATAGGTAGATACACATTGCTTACTTGCACACCAGAAGAAGGAAAACAACCAATTTAAAAAGCAAAAACAACCAGAACTACCAGAAAATTGAACTGTATAGAAGTCTGACAACAAAGGAGTTAAAGAAGAAACATTCATCCAGACTGGTTGGAGGGGCAGAGATGGGCCGCTGGGATAAAAAGGACGCTCATCAAGGTGACAGCTGGCAGACCAGGTGGTCCCACATTCGTGTGTGGGGTAAACTGGGAGGAACAACTGGGGAGCGAGACAAATCACACAACCCAGGATTCCAATGCAGGGAAATAAAGCCTCAAAACCTCTGGCTGTACCTAAGTGCCCATCAGTAAATGAGTGGATCAAAAAACTGGTACATTTACACAATGGAATTCTGAGCAGCAGAAAGAAAAAGGGAACTCCTGGATTGAGGGAGGGAGGGGGGATGGAGCAGGGGAAGGTGGTGGGGGGAAGACAGAGACAAATGTATTTGAAAAAATAAAGAAAATAAATTTTTAAAAAAAAGAAAGAAAAAGGGAACTCCTACCCTTCACAACGGTATGGATGGAACTGGAGAGTATTATGCTAAGTGAAATAAGCCAGGCAGTGAAAGACAAATACTGTACGCTCTCACCTATAAGTGGAACCTAATCAACAAAACAAACAAGCAAGCAAAATAGAACCAGAGGCATGGAAATAAAGAACAAACTGACAGTGACCAGAGGGGAAAGAGGAGGGGGTTAACAGGTGAGAAGAAGAAGGGGAAGGGTCAAGTCAAGGAACATGTATAAAAGACCCATGGACAAGGACAAATGGGTAGAGGGAGGATTGAATGTGGTGGGGGAAGGGCAGGGGAAAGTAATGGGGGGAAAGGGTGACAACTGTACTTAAACAACAATAAAAAAATTTTTTAAACCTCTGTAAAAATCTGTGGAGGTTGCAGCAGCAGGAGAAACTCCCAGTCTCCCAGGAGAATTCACTGGAGGGGCCCACTGGGCCCCAAAACAATTAACATTATAGTAACATTATATGAAATGTTAAAGGGACTTATCTAAGAAAAAGAAGAAGATCAAAACTATGAACAGCAAAATGACAACAAACTCACAACTATTAACAACTGAACCTAAAAAACAAAACCAAACTAAGCAAACATCTAGAACAAGAACAGAATCACAGAAATGGAGATCACATGGAGGGTTATCAGTAGGGAGAGGGAGGGGGGAAAGTGGGGAAAAAGGTACAGGGAATAAGAAGCATAATTGGTAGACACAAAATAGACAGGGAAAGGTTAAGAATAGTGTAGGAAATGAAGAAGCCAAAGAACTTATATGTATGACCCATGGACATGAACTAAACAGGGGAATGCTGAAGGGAAGGGTGATACAGGGTGGAGAAAAATATGGGACAACCGTAATAGCATAATCATAAAAATATACTTAAAAAATAAAAATAAAAGATTTCCAATTAAAAAATTGCTACATCATGATAAAACTGTAGGAAAAATGAAATGGAAATATGAGTTGAAGCAGAAAAAGCAATAATATAAATATCTGTTAAAAAGAAAAAAGTTTGCTCATATACTTTTAAATTGAATAATGGTGATTATCGAATTGCTATGGTATTTAGATAATATTAAATTATGACTTGAAGGGTGTTATAGTTTTATCTCTATTTATTTATTTTTTTAGAGAGAGGGGAGGAGAGGGAGAAAAAGAGGGAGAGAAACATCCATGGGAGAGAGAAACATGGATCTGTAGCCTCTTGTGTGCACCCCAACCAGGCACTGAGCCCCCAACCTAGGCATGCCTCCTGATAGGGAATCCAACCAGCAACCTTTTGCTTTGTGGGACAATGCCCAACTAAGCCACACCAATCAGGGCTATAGTTTTATTTTTAAATATTGATATTTAAAATATGCTGGAAGTTACATCCTTAGCAACTACTTACATTCTGAACTTTTAAATCTAGATGTCAACTTTTTTTTTTTTAAGATTTCAGTCTTATTTATTTTTAGACAGAGGGGAAGGGAGGGAGAAAGAGAGGGAAAGAAACATCAATATGTGGTGGCCACTCCACACATCTTACTGGGGGCCTGGCCCACAATGCAGGTATATGCCCTGACTGGGAATCAAACTAGCAACCCTCTGGTTCACAGGCCAGCGCTCAATCCACTGAGCCACACCAGCCAGAGCTAGATGTCAACTTAAAATGTATAAAGAAGTATATCATTCTTCAGATTCTTTTGGATGTACATGAAATGAAATGCTCAAAGGCTGCTAGTCTCTATCTTCTCATTTGTTCTCATTTTTAAGTAGGTTTCTCATCATTCGATCTCGATTGCAAGTTCTCTTTAAGTATTATGTCCTATTTCTTGTGTTTTTTCCAAAGACTCAAAGAGAGGAACTTGTCAGCAAAGTCAGTAGCTGTGGAACTGAGTGGGGCAGCATTGGCTTAAACAGTCTTTGTACCCTGGCAGTCTTTGGAACTCATGCTCATGAATTTTATGTGCATTTCACAAATATTTCTTAGTTTGCTCTTTTCTCAGGAAGGTTTCCTTATCCTAAAATATAATTCCTTCCTACTCACTTTAAATAGTGTCACAGATTTTCATTCCACATTTATTCAGAATGCATATGAATAAGTGCATTCTTAGGATATGTAACATTGATCTACAATTAGATTATATTAGATTACTTCCTGATAGCAAGTTTGGTTCTTTTTAAGATTTTATTTATTTATTTTTAGACAGCAGGGAAGGGAAGGAGAAAGAGAGGGAGAGAGACACCAACATGTGGTTGTCTCTCACATGCTCCCCAAGTGAGGACCTGGCCCGCAACCCAGGCATGTGCCCTGGGCTGGGACTCAAACCTTTGACCCTTTGGTTCTCAGACTGGCATTCAGTCCACTGAGCTACACCAGCCAGGGCCTGATAGCAAGCTTTTATAAAGGAGGGTGAGGAGAATCAAGAAGTTTACCTCTTGGCTCCTTGAGTAGACTGAAGACTAAACCAATATTTACTGAAGTGATTCTAAAGAAGTAGAATCCACTAAAGAGTAGATTGGTAAGACCTTATCAGTTATGAACAACCACATCAAAATCCCCATTTCTAGGAAAACATCACTCTTGAATAGAGAAGCACTCAGTGCTTAGACTGAGAAATAAAGATGATGTGTAGGTATAACTCTGCTAAGCCCACCCCAAAGTAAAACTAAGCAGTCACAATTGGACCTTCCATTGGGTGAATAAATAATTTAAAACACTTCCTTTTCTGTTTCTGGTAACTCGACATAATCAAAGCTTTTAGACTGCAAATTTTCTTTCTTCTGGTATAGGGAAGATTTGAGTGCAGTACCTAGAACATAGCAGGCATTTAGTTAATTTGGTCAAATAAACAGATTTTTAGGGACTCCTAAAGAGAAGGGACTCCTGAGGAGTAAATGGTAATGAAGTTAGACTCCCAACAATTTGAAACCTGGGTCACTAAACATTTTATCTTTGATTCGTTTTTTTCTGCAGCAAGTGAAAGGAAACTTTGCTAGGCTGCAGACCTGCATCTCAGAGCTCCGAATGTTACAGAGAGAAGGTTGTTTCAGACCGCAAGGTACTTCCCTGCAGCTGGCAGTAGAAGATGGGCTCCAGCAGTTCAAACAGTACTGCAGACATGTGACCACGGGTGCAGCGCTGGCCTACACTTCCCTGGAGGTAAGAGATGCTGGCCTTAGGAGCCTAAGCCATCTTCCGATTTCAGTCGATCCAGATGTTCACTATTAATCTTTCTTAATCATTCTTATGTTGTTCTATGTTTCATACACATTGAATGTAATTTTCTTTTTTAATTTAATCTTGATTGCATTTTTTCCATTATCGTTTAGTCCCTTGTACCCCTCCTTGAATGCAATTTTCAAGACTAGATTTTCAGCCCCTTGCAGGCAGGAGATATGGTCCCTTTTTCCTATCATCTCTGTAATTCTTCTTACACAGCTAGGCATAGAGAGACGCATTAAAAATGGGAACTAAAGTGAGTTACAGTAGAACTAAAATCAAAATAAAATATGAATATGCCATCTGCCTTTGGACCTTTGGAACTTGTAAGGCAATCATTAAACTGCCTGGATTGTTGTCTGTTTTTATATATTCTGAGTACCCTTAAGAATTTACAGTTGTTCTTGGATTGCTTTATAAAGTATGATTGGGTAACTACTCTGCTGTACACCTGAAACTAATGTAAAATAATATTGAATGTAAACTGTAACTGAAAAATAAATAAATGATAATAATAAAGAATCACCACATCTAATGAAGTCTGTCTCAATATCAGGTAAAATAAAAAAAGAACTTGCAATTGTTTTAAATCAAATCTTGGCATCAAAATGAGTAAATTTTTTGAGATTAGCAAATATGCGAGTGTAAAACTTTATAAAATTCTGGTGCCAGACTGAGGTAATCTTAAAAATGTAATAAGTCATGACTGTATACTCCATTGAGTGTGTGAATGTGAGTTAAAACACTCTCAGTCTCTGGTAACCTCAGGCATCAAACTGAGTTTTAAAAACAATTTAAAAAATAATTGTACTTTGATCTGCATCTCTCTTCATCAATCAAAATGTCCAAGAACAAAAAAGAATTGCCTCCCAGAATTTTAAATTCAAGGCAAAACTGCTAATAAAAAGAGTGTATTCATTCAAGTGGAATAAAATATTCAAATTTTTCACAAACACTTCAGTATTCCTTCATATCAGATATATTGATCAAGGGTGAGTACATTTTAGAATTAAGAGATCCAAAAAAAAAAAAAAAAAAAAAGAACTCAGCTGGATCTAGGTTGGGCAAGGAAAGAACTCTACATGGAAGGACCACTGTGGAAAAGGAACATATAGGCTCTGTGCCTTTTTCTTTTCTTTTCTTTTTGTTTTTTTGCTGCTTACTCTTTATTTTTTTCTCTTTTTTTATTTTTAAAGGTATATTTTATTGATTATGCTATTACAGCTGTCCCTTTTTATTTCTCCCCTTTATTCACCTCCACCCTGCATGCCCCCACCAGCATTTCCCCCCACTTAGTTCATGTCTATAGGTCATACATATAAGTTCTTTGGCTTCTCCATTTCCTATACTATTCTTAACCTCCTCCTGTCTATTTTGTGCCTACCAATTATGCTTCTTATTCTCTATACCTTTTCCCCATTTCCCCCTTCCCCACTGATAACCTTCCATCTGATCTCCATTTCTGTGATTCTGCTCCTGTTCTAGTTGTTTGCTTAGTTTGGTTTTTGTTTTTTAGGTTCGGTTGTTGATAGTTGTGAGTTTGTTGTCATTTTGCTGTTCATAGTTTTGATCTCCTTCTTTTTCTTAGATAAGTCCCTTTAACATTTCATATAATAAGGACTTGGTGATAATGAACTCCTTTAACTTGATCTTATCTGGAAAGGACTTTATCTGCCCTTCCACTCTAAATAATTGCTTTGCTGAATAAAGTAATCTTGGGTGTAAGTCCTTGCCTTTCATGACTTTGGATACTTCTTTCCAGCCCCTTCTTGCCTGTAAGGTTTTCTTTTGAGAAGTCAGCTACTAGTCTAACGAGGCTCCTTTGTAGGTAATTCTCTCCTTTCGTCTTGCTCCTTTTAAGATTCACTCCTTATCTTTAATCTTGGGTAATGTAATTATGATGTGCCTTGGTGTGTGCTTCCTTGGGCCCACCTTCTTGGGGACTCTCTAAGCTTCCTGGATCTCCTGCAAGTCTATTTCCTCTGCCAGATTGGGGAAGTTCTCCTACATTATTTTTTCAAATAAGTTTTCAACTTCTTGCTCTTCCATTTCTCCTTTTGGCACTCCTATGATTCAGACGTTGGAACATTTAAAGTTGTCCCAGAGGTTCCTAAGCCTCTCCTCATTTTTTTTGCATTCTTGTTTCTTCATTCTGTTCTGATTGAATGTTTATCTCTTCCTTCTGCTCCAAGTCATTAATTTGAGTCCCGGTTTTCTTCCCTTCACTGCTCGTTCCCTGTGTATTTTTCTTTATTTCACTTTGCATAGCCCTCACTTTTTCCTCTATTTTACAACCATACTCAACCATTTCTGTGAGCATCCTGATTACCAGTGTTTTGAACTCTGCATCTGATAGGTTGGCTATCTCTCCATTGCTTAGTTGTATTTTTTCTGGAGTTTTGATCTGTTCTTTCATTTGGGCCGTATTTCTTCCTCTCAGTGCTCCTGTTACGTTGTAAGGGGCAGAGCCTTAGGTATTTGCCGAGGCGGGGCAACCCACTTGGCTGCATTGTGGCACTGTATGTGGGGCAGGGGTCAGAAAGGGAACAATGTCACTTCCTTGGCTCTCAGCTGGCTTTCAATCACCTCCTCTGCTACCCACAAGAAAACTGGGCCCTTCTGGTGCTGATTCCCAGGTAGGTGGGTTTGTGTACATTCTAGGACCTTGTGGATCTCTCCAACAAATTTTCCTGTGGGGTTTGGAGTTTTTCCTGACACTACAATCCCACAGGTTTTTATCGCCAGTGGTTTCGAGGTTTTCTTTTCCCACACTGAAACCCTGGGTTCCATGGTCTGTCTCGCTCCCCAGTTGTTCCTCCCAGTTTATCCAAACACAAATGTGGGACTGCCCGGTCCACCAGCTGCCACCTTGCTACTCATCATTTCCATTCCAACTGCCTGTCTCGGCCCCTCCTACCTGTTTGGACGAATGTTTCTTTAACTCCTTGGTTGTCAGACTTCCATACAGTTCTATTTTCTGGCAGTTCTAGTTGTTGTTTGTTTTTAAATTTGTTGTCCTTCTTTTGGTTGTGTGAGGAGGCAAAGTGTATCTACTTACGCCTCCATCTTGGCCCGATGTCAGCTCTCTGCTATTCAGTACATAGTGAGTGGAATTTAAGGATCCAATTTTATTTCCTCATAAAATCAAAGCATTTCGAACAGAACAGATATTCCCAGTGCTTCACACAACCTTAAAAAACTAAAACATAAGGATGGCTTCTCAATGGCCACTTTCTGAGGTAGGCTTACCCTATTTGAAAGGGTCCTGTGATGACCCCAAAATAATCTGTCAAATGAAATTTGATTTGTAAGTTATTGTACAGTTGAACCCTCTTCTTTGCCCTTAAGACAATAGCCATTACCGCAGACTTCTCCTGTGTTTATCCTCTAGATCTAACCTATGTTCCTCATTCTGCATGCCAGGGAAGGCAGACACACTGATTCTTGGATTTATTTCTAGATTACTATTCTGACTTCCCAACCTGGAAAAGAATTGGTCAAACAATTGGAGCATGGATTGAAAGATACAGACCTATTCAAGGTCAGAAGGCTTCAGGTGGTTGAGATCATAAAGGAAGCCCTAGGGTGTATGGACTCAGCATCCCCTGTGGAAGAGTCCAACAATGATGGTAAGAATTAAATTAAAATGTAAAAAGAATGGTAAGAATTTTAATGAGTAGTGTTTTGCAGGTCAGGAAGATTATTTTCCATGGTATTTTTATGTTCTTAAATGAAATGAAGCCAACAGATTTTACTGTGGGTCAGAACGGTGTTTCTAGGTGTTAGAGTTGAATTTTTAATCATACTTTTTTATTTCAGAAACAATATGTAATGAAAAGTCTGAAATATTATAGGTGTAAAAAGTAAAAATTCCTTCCTCTTGTAATCACTTTTAAGAGATTCAAGTATACATCCCAATGTTACTTTAAATAGACATTCATACAAACACATATGTGTATGTGTGTGTATATATATGTGTATACACACACATGTATATATATACATACACACATTTGTCCCTCAATATCTGCAGGGTAGTGATTCCAGAAGCCCCACAGATACCAAAAGCTGTGGATGCACAAGACCCTCATGTAAAGTAGTATAGTATTTGCATGTAACCTGTCCACCAGCATAATTTACATCATCTCTAGGTTACTTATAATATCTAGTACAATGTAAATGCTATGTAAATTATTGTTATACTGTATTGTTTAGGGAAAAATGATCCAAAAAATTTTATACATGTTTAGTACAGATACACTATCATAAGTCTGACTACATAAAACATCAACATCAATGTAACTTTTTTTAATATTTTCAACCCAATTGGTTGAATCCACCAATGCAGAACCCACAGATATGGATGGCCAATGGTATTTAATATTTTAATGTGATTACATATATAATGTTCTATAACCTTCTCAGTGTTTTAGTCAGCTATCTATATGAGTATCTATGAGATGATCTATCTCATTTTTTTACTGGATACATGATTTGTTTTTTTTTGCTGTGTGGCTGGTTGGACTGTAATTTATTGGTTCCAATACTGTATGCTATTAACCAATGCTGTATGAACAGACTTTTATGCAAAGCTGGTTTCATGGGCTTATGACCAACACAGTCACACAGGGCCCGGTACTCATAAAAGCCCTGTGCTTAGTACTCAATGCTCTTAGTTTGCTGTTGTGACATTCTTAATTTTGATATTTGAATTTGTGTTTTGTAAGTGAAGTTTGGTGGAACAATGAGGTATGTGCCAGGGGATTTGAGTTCTGGTTCACATATACCCTGTCTCCTGCATCCCTCCCACCTTCTCAGAATGGGTGCTGAGTCACCACCAGCCCTGGTGTCTCTAACCTGTCCACCCACACCCAGAAACCACTGGAATGCAGGTCCCTGTCAATGAATCCTATATAAATTACTCATAATCCTAACTTCCTAGAAGAAAAATATCTTCAAACTGAGTCTTAAAGGACAAGCAGAATTAGCCAAACAGAGGAAGAGGAAAAGGGCACTCAAACAGGGGACCCAGAGGCATGAAAAAGCAAGATGAATCAAACTTTCAGATACAAGTCCATGGTTCCCTATGGCTGGAGGCTTATCAGGTAGAGGGGGGAGTGAAGTTGTAAAGATAGGCAAGGGATAGATCAAGAAGGGCCAAATATGCCCTAAGTCCATTCTAAGACATAGCATTTCATTCTAAGGCAATGGAAACTTATGAAAATATTTTAGTCAGGAGGTCAGGTAGAGATTCCCAAATTATAGAATTTAAGAGGTTTTTATCTGATTTTAACTTATCTAACAGTCAAGTTACAGTTCACCCTCCAGCAGTCCTTCCTGGCTATATTGACATTCTCCAAGATTATGCACATGGGAAGGTGCCCACTGTTCTTATAAGATTGATCTCTTCCAGCTCCCACATGGATAACCTCACTCTGCCCTTCACTCCCTAATTAGTCAAGGGGTTGGTAACTAGGGGTGGTTTTCCCATCAGATTCTGCCACATGTGGATCCTTCCAGCATGATAGGCTGCTGACATTGTTCTGGTCAGGGAGGGTGGGCAACCAGCCTTTGCTGTATGGTTTATGAGCTCTCCCCTACTGCACACATTCTGCTTTTCTCAAGTCAGTCTCCCCACTGACTGCCCTTCTTTCTCTGCATTCCTCCACTCACAGTAGGCTTTTCCTCTGAATTCCTTCTTCTTTCTTCTGAATTCCTTCCCCTCTCTTCTTCCAGCTGAATCTTCCCCATCCTTTAAGGCCTAATTCAGGTTTGTGACTACTAAATTGATTTTTCTTTCCTTAGAACAACCACATCACTTGTGGTCTGCACCACACAATTTAGCACTTAATTATATGCCATGTAGAATTGTTTACCACTGCTTTATAGTATGATAACTTTGCTTTCTCACCTAACATTGTAAAATATGTTACATTTTTTCTCTCTGCATTAAATATGATCTCACCTATAAGTGGAACCTAATGAACAAACGAGCAAACTAGAACCAAAGGCATGGAAACAAGGAACAGACTGAGGGGATGGGGGAGGGGGATAAGGGAGGAAAGAAGGGGAAGGGCCTAGTTAAAGAACAAGTATAAATGACCCATGGACATGGACAATAGGGTGGGGATTGTGGGAGTGGGGGTGGGCGGGGCAGGGGAGAGCAACAGGGGAAAATTGGGACAACTGTAATAGAACAACAATTAAAAACACTAAGTACCTTGAGATTAGAAATTTGTTTTACTCATTTTTGTGTCCCAATGTGTAGCATATACTAGATTATCAGTAAATACTTGTTGAATTAATGGATGACAGTATACCTGTGGAAGCACCTTCTTAGTCCGCCCAGCATCCCCTGCATCCCCTATCTCTTGTAATACCTCCACCTTCCTGGTCACAGAGTAGGCCATGACTCATCCTCCATTTATAGCCCTTCACAGTGAGTTCTCAAACTGAATCTGTGAGCGAGGAGTTCTTTTTTATTTCTTTTTGGCCATGAACAGATCAGGTATGGACTCTGCCCTTTTCTCCCTTCCACGACTATTCTCAGGAGGAACTTACTATACCTCTAATGCACAGAACTCCAAGTACTCTGAGGCTGCCCGATGTGTTTATTTAGAATTGTTAGTGGCTAGAGCTGTATGAAAGAGCTTTTATATGCAGGAAAGCAGCTTTCTACCTTTGTGTCACTGGTGATCATTCTTACAGTAACTTCCTATTTGCATATAAATAATACATCATCCCATAAATTGCTTGTAGTTCTCCTTTGTGGGTTAAGTGTACATATGATTTATGTTTTGAAATCTTCTACTTTGTCTGTACTTTCCTAATAATGAATTTCTTTAGGACCATTTCGGGGGGTGGTAGTGCACCCTGGCCTGGTGGCTCACTTGGTTGGAGTGCCATCCTATACACCAGAAGGTTGGGGGATCCATCTTTACTTAGGGCACACACCTAGGTTTAGGTTCAATCCCCAGTTCAAGCACATATGCAAGGCAACCAAGCAATATTTCTCTCTCACATCGATGTTTCTTTCCCTCTCCCTAAAATCTATTTTTTTATTTCTTTATTCTGTTATGTTTTGTTTCAGCTTGGTGTCCTTATCAAGAGACTAGCAGCATTAGCTTCTCTCATTCTCAGAAGGATGTGTGCTCCAGAATTAGGTTCCCTAAGCCTAAATTTCTGTTCTATCACATACTAGCTATGTGACTTTGAGCAAGATACTTAACCTGTCTAAGCCTTCATTTTTAATTCCTACCCCATGTAGTTGTTGTGGGGATTAAATGAAATCATGCGTGTTAACTGCTTAGTATATAATAAGTTCTCAGTAAAAGCTGGCTATTGTTATTGTTAACATCTTTTTAAAATTTTTTTTACCCTGATAGGTATGGCTCAGTTGGTTGTAGCATTGTCCCATACAGCAAAAGTTTGGGGACTCAATTCCTACTCAGGGCCCATACCTAGGTTGCAGGTTTAATCCCCAGTTAGGGAGACAACCAGTTGATGTTTCTCTCTCTCTCTCTCAAAACAATAAATATATTTTTTAAATTTTAAAAGATTAAAAAAAATTTTTAATGTTTTTGTATATAGATGGTTTAATATTTCTGAAAAAAATGTTAATGGTTAGGTCCCAAGTGGACTGTGAGTTACCTGAGGATATGTCTTAAATATCTTTTTATCACCAGCATATATCATTCTGTCTGGCACATAATAGGCTCTCAATAAATGTTTGTTGAATAAATAAGTGAATGACTAAAAAACCTCAAATTATTTGGGAGAGGTCATAGTCAACCTGTCTGACATCAACTATGATAGTTAGGGACATATCCTACTTACCCATAACTTCCCTTCATAATCAATGAATATCATGAATTGATTCAAACACTTCTTGAATCTATTTACATGTAATTTTTAAAACTCTGATAACCATGATCATCAATTAAATAAAAATTGTCTGTACTCCACTTTTTGAAGAAAGAATTGTGTTGCAAGGAAATGTTGATATTGCAGACTAGTTTAAAAAGCAACTCTGAGGCCCTGGCCAGGTTGTTCATTTGGTTAGAGCACCATCCCAGTATGCCAAGATTGCAGGTTCAATCCCTGGTCAGGGCACATACAGGAAGCAACCAATGAATGCATAAATAAGTGGAACAACAAAATCAATGTTTCCCTCTCTTTCTCTTCCTCTGTCTCACTCTCTAAAATCAATTTTTTTTAAAGTAACTATGAGACTATGTCCTATGTTCTTTTATTGGTCTAAACTCTGTCTTCTTTAGTACAGCCCTGTACAGTGCGAACTAATCATTACAAAGATGACTTGGAGACTCTAAAAGATCCAGAATCATAAAAGAAAAAGTGAACTTAGAAACTAAGAAAGTAGACTCACATTTTAGAAAGTTCTTTAATAAGATCTGAAATGAAAAGGTTAACTTTAAGTCACACTTACATCAGTTAGTACTTTTTATAAATTTTCAGCCTGTAGAGCCTATTATATATTTTCTTCTAACTGTATGGTAAATAGTACTTTCATCTGTTCTTGCTTGGTCTAAATTGTTCATTTTTTTTTTTTAAATTTAGCTGAAAGATCCTGCCTAGTGTTCTTTGTAGTAGCTTTTGTCTGGTAAAATTA